CCCCACATAATAACATTACAGCCGCTCATTTCTTGCAAGAGTGATGAAAATGAAGAAACGGAACCCAAGGCAATCATTTTTCACCTCTAGAGATTGACAGGTATTCACTATACGAATTCGTTGCAGCAACTCACTTCGGTGACTTCGGTTGTTCGAAATTCTGCTAGTAATTAATCAAAACAAAAATAGAGATCAAACACGAAATCAACACCTTTTGCAACTTCAAATGCAGCTTTCTGAGCTTTCGAGTCTTCGCCTCGACTTCTTGTTGTAAGCTGGAATACGTTTGATGGATCTCAGCAGTGTCATCCTCTTGTCTCTCCAGTTGTTGTAGAATTTCTCGCTCACGTTTCTAAAAAAATTGGCCTTAGCTTATGGTAAGACAAAAAGCAATAGGATTTCCAGGCCACTCATAGCGCTCATAGCATAGCTTAAGGGTGAACCCAAGATCTGAGTTCACCCTTAAGCTTCTTTGAGAAATCATCGAAAAAAAATTGAAAAATCACCATGAGGTTAACAGTAGGGTGGGAAATGCAAGACTACGACTAAATACGGAAGTATTTCAAGCTACCACTCCATTACATGAACCACTATCATAGTACGTGCGTGTTTGTCGGGTGGTCGGTATGACTGTTCGTTTCTCGACAAAATGCCTCTGGGGTGAGATAAAAAACGTGGTAGAGTAACCATGCTAGAAAATCAGATTTGAGCTAGCGGCCTCGATCTGATGAGGTTACCATGATAGTGGTAACATCCTCATACATACTATATGTATACAAGCACATTTGGCACACTTGCCGCATTGCAGAAGGTAGTAAGTTAGCACTCAGAGTTCAGCATCTGTGAGCGTGCCGTACACTCGCAGAAAAAGGGATGGGATGATGATTCGAGGGATGTCGGGTGAAAGTTGGTAAGTTGAATGAAGAAAAACAGGCTGTTCATCATTTCATCTACTCATTCACCCTCCCGTGGCGAATCCAAGCTCGCTCATGGAATCATTGCTTCTAGATAGCCCAGAAAAAAATAAGGGGAGAAGACATTCAGTAGATCGAATTCTATAGATTCAGGCCATGACGGAGCTGGTATAGAGATAGGAAATGGAGCATTTGGCGCCCATCAATCCTCTTCGGGATGCGCCACGCATTCTGCTCCTGGTCAGAATCGTGGTGGCACTTTCAATGCGATTTAAACTACAATTACTTGTGAAACCAGTCTATGTCAGACGACCAGAGTATTTACATAACATTGTTTTTTATCCTCGCAGTGAAGTCTGGTACCTTTTAACGACGGGAAGGAACGGATGGCTTGTTAGCCTAGGCGCGTACAGTCTCGAAATTCTTCCCTGCCTGGACCGTGTCTGTGGTAAGCAGCGCTTTTGTTACTACACCACTGCTGTTGATTATTCTAACTTGACGGTGAAATATGTATGTGTTGGAAGAGGTAGAAGATAGCAAAGAAATTTTGGTAAATAGCGATGCATACTTGCGTACGTAAACTATGCTATTTCACAAACATCATGGCCAGTAGTGCTATTGGCAGCTTCCCAAAAAAGTTTATGTGCGACCGAACGAATTGCAAAATATCAACTCTCCTGCCAGGCACTTCAAAATGGAATGAAAAGATAAGATTACTCAGCCAGTTAGTTCGTTCAATTGCATAAAAGTAGCTATGGTGGCCTGGTGAAAATTTCATTTCAGACGATGTCACTAACCTTCTGCTCGGCAAGTTCTCGCCGTCGATTTTCGAGCTCAGCTTCCTGCTGTCTGGTATGATCCAAAAGATCAGTCCCACCGAGAAGTTTACTTTCCATTTTGGCGATTGTTTCAGCTACTTCTCGTTGTGCTTGTTGCTCTCGTTCCAGTTGACGTTGCCGCTCTTCAAGATCAGCAATGATCCGTCGACGTTCCTGAAAACGATAGCTGAACCTTGGTAAGCGAAGACACGGATGCAGGACTGCGAATGTGGTCGCTGGTTGGGAATCATGAGCGAAATGTTTCACATAAGCAACGGCTGCTGCACTTTTGGTAGGTCCAGCCCGCTTGACACGCGCAAGTTTTGCAAAATGACGCGCGCATCAATCGCTCAGTGGCGCGCGACGAGCGACAAGTCTATACGGCGCGCAACGCGTACTCATGACACATACCGCCTTATGTGAGCCTTCAAATGGCGCTTCAACCTTTCCCATATTTCGCTGTCGACTGAACAAAGAAAAACAGAGAAATAGAGAAGAGTTACCTCCTGAATGAGCGTCTTATCTTTGAGGGCATTCTCTCGATCAGCAGCAATTTGACGGTGCTGCTCATCGAAATACTCTTCGCCACGTGATTCGTCAAGCTCTGAAATTTCAAGGGGAAATTGGGATAATATAAATTTGTCACGGGAAAGGAAATAAAAAAGGCTCGGCAGGAAACAGTTCGAACAACTTTTCAAAGGAACAAACCTCCTCCTCGACCTTTCCGCCTTGACCGCTTTTCCAGCATGGCGCGCAATCGCATGATTTCGTCCTAAAATCCATCACGATAATTTCAATGAAAAAAGGAAGAAATTTTGAAGGCACTAGTGACAATAAATCCGGTAGATGAATAACTATGCGTACACAACTAAACCCCGACAACAAACTCGAACTCTTGTTATCCCACTCACAGCACTACAAAGAATTGAGGGCCTATCTCCTCATAAATCCCAGCTACTCATAGGCGAATAAGACCAATTAAAACCCTCGTGCAACCCACTTGGAACTCTCGCAACATCGCATCTTTCGGATCCTCGTTGATCTTCGGCTTGTTCTTGATGTTCTTCGCTCGATTCGCGTATCGTAATGTTCCTGAAGACAGCTATTCATTTCAAAATCATAAGCCGCATAGCTTCATTTCAAACAGGATTAGGAAAAAAGCCTTTTTACACACCTAGCGTTTCTTCATAATTATATGAAGCTGGTCCTATACATGCCACCATTACCGTCTTCGAATTTCCACCAAGCGAATCTAAATTTCAGATTATTTACTGAAACCCTACAACAGCTTATGCATCAAAATGACAAATGTAGTTCCAGTTACTTATCCGGTATGTAGCGCGAGCGGTCGCAACGCGGATTG